AAAAAAAAAAAAAAACAAAACACTGGCTGAGCGTGGTGCTGACAAGTCTCTGCTGAGTGTGTGCTGTTCCTCCTCCCTGAAACGCTTGTCTCTCTCTCTCTCTCTCTCTACATTTGACAAATGCCTATGCGCCCTTCAAGCCCCAGCTCCAAGGGTGCCTCACCTTGGAGCCCCAATCCCCCAGGCATTGAGACACTCCCTCCCAGTCCCCTGTGCTCCAGGAGTACCCCCTTTCCTGCAGCCCACCCGCTGAGCTGATACTCTTTCCTCACTAGGACGGAGAAAACAGGTGGTGCTTTTTTTCAGCCTGTACAGTGTTGTAAAAATCAAGAAAAGTTGCCTACAAATCTGGAGTTCAGGCTTCTCTTAAAGAGCACTTTAGAATATGACATAACTGGATTGCATTCCGCTCAGTTTCTCGGCCTCCTCCTCGTCAGTGACCTCATCTTCCCCATCTCACTGGCCCACAGCCCCTGTTTTCCTGGACCAGTAGCTTTCAAGTGTTTCAGAAGTAAGATTGACAATGTGGCCCAGTAAATGGATGCATGTGCAACGCATCTCTCGTGACCTTATATTAAGCTTTGCTCTGTGTGATGCACTCCGAGGTTTTCTATTCCATTCCATCCTATCCCATCCCATCCCACTCTATTTCATTCTATGCTATTCTATTCCATTCCATCCCCCCACTTTTTTTAAAATGCCATTTCTGATCCACTGCATTGATTTCACAAACCACTCATGGGTCAGGACCCCCACATTGAAAAACACTGCCCTATAGGGCCGGCCCGTAGCTCACTCAGGAGAGTGTGGTGCTGATAACACCAAGTCAAGGGTTTGGATCCCTATATATAGGGACGGCTGGTTTGCTCACTGATTGAGCGTAGTTCTGACAACACCAAGCCAAGGGTTGAGATCCCCTTACCGGTCATCTTTAAGAAAAAAAAAGAAAGAAAAACACTGCCCTAGCCCCTGTCATCATCTGTCACTGCCCCCCTCCATAATCCAGGTAATAGACCTGCCACTCTCTGCCAACACGTCTTATCTTTTTACATCCCTCCCTCAGGAATTCCAGACACCAACGACTCCTAGGGCCTGTAATCCTCGGGTCCTCGCCCCTTTCACTCTCTCCCCTGTACTTACTGCCCTTCTTCCATGCCTGGGGTCCCTGGTCCACCGGACCACTCATCCCTTGCATGCACTCAGCCTCTTCTCAGCACATGTGTGGCCAACCCCAACCCCATTCTCAACAACAGTGGCTATAGTGACCCTTTGGAAACCTAAGTCAGAACCTGTCATTCAGAGCCTGCCAGTGGCTCCCCTGTCACACAGGCAAAAACTCAAGTCCGTGTGATGGTCTGCAGGGCCTCTGTGATGTAGCTGCTCCTCCCATTCCACTCTGCCCTCAGCCTCCGCCCTCCACCCCTCGGTCCTGTCACTCAGCACGCAGCCTCTCTGCTGCGCCTAGAACATACCATTCGAGATGCTCCCTCTGCCTGGAAGGCTCCTCCTAGGAGAGTACAGCTTTCTCCTTTGTCTTATTAGAGAGACCGTCTTTAAACAACCTGAACAAACATCCCACCAGTCACTCCCTCTGCCTCTCGCAAGCCTTTGGTTCTCCACAGCGACAGTGGCCATCTAATGTGCTGTGTCGTTACCTGTTATTTGTTTTTTGCCCATTGCTTTCCATTAACATGCAAGACCCATGAGGGTCGGCTCTGTTATTTTGTTCATGAGGATGCTCACAGTTAATCATTGTTGAGGATGAGTGATAGGCTCATTGGGGGTCTTTATACTGGTATCCATACTCTTGCATATATTTGAAATTTTCCACAATAAAAAGCTATTTTCAAAGGTGTATTGAAGGAATGAACAAATGAACGAATCCACGGCATTTCTTTTTGAACTAACCTTCCCTGTGTCTTGTGGAGCTGGCTGCAACATCACTGAACAGGGCAAGTAGTCAGGAAACTGGAAAGAAACAAATAAAAATCACTTCTTTCAGAGGGGGTTATTCCACAGGTAATACATAATCATCATACAAAAACTGAAAAGTGAAAATGATAAGCAAGAAAAAAGAAAAAACATATTCACCTATACTCCTGATACCCAGATTCATGTTGTTAAAATAACATTCCAGGGCCGGCCTGGTGGTGCACTCGGTAGAGTGCGGCGCTTGGGAGCGCGGCGGCACTCCCGCCCAGGGTTCGGATCCCATATAGAGACCGGTCCGCTCACTGGTTGAGCGCGGTGCGGTCGCGACACCGAGGGTTGCGATCCCGTTACCGGTCACGAAAAAAGACAAAAAGGAAAAAAAAAAAAATAACATTCCAAAAATTTCCTATGTGCACACTTACAAGCAAATAGGTATGTATATGTGTGTATCTGTTTTACAGAAATGGGACCAGATGATAAACATGTCCTGTAGTCTGGTTGACTCCTTTCATTAATCTTAACCCTGTTCAGAAAGCATTACAACCATTTTTCCAAGTCATGGAATGTAGTTCTGCACCATCATTTTTAGGGCCTGTGTAACACACAATGGATAGCCAATCCCCACTTCTGGCTACTTAAATGGTCTTTATTATTTTTCCACTATAAACAACACTGCAGTAAATATCCTTCTTCATACACTTTAGCACAGTTTTAGCCAGTTAATTCCACAGGCTACATTGCTAGAAAGAAAATTGTCAGGTCGGTCACATTGTCATTGTCAACCCCCATCCCCTTTTTTTTTGGCAGCTGGCCAGTGTGGGGATCCAAACTCAAAATCACATTTTTTGAGGTTTTTAATACATGTTGAAATGTTGTCATCAAAAGGCTATGTCACTTCAAACTCTCAGCACAGGTGCATGGGAGCATCCAGAACCATGTAACTACCCTATGACTCAACTACCCCACTACTGGGCATATACCCAAAGAAAATGAAATCAACATATCAAAAAGACACCTGCACCCCCATGTTCATCACAACACTATTCACAATAGCCAAGAGATGGAATCCACCTAAATGCCAATCAATGGACGAATGGATTTAAAAAGTGTGGTATATATACACAATGGAATACCATTCGGCTATAAAAAGAAATGATATCCTATCATTTGCAGCAACATAGATGGAACCAGAAACCATCATATTAAGTGAAATAAGTCAGGCACAGAAAAACAAATACCACATGATCTCACTCATATGTGGAATTAAAAGAAAAGAATGGTTCTCATAGAAGTAGAGAGTAGAATACTGGTTACCAGAGGCTGGCAGGCGAGGGGTGGGAGGAGAAGGGGTGGACTAATGGGTACCAAGCTGTGCCATCTACCCAATGTGAATCATTGTGCAGCACATGCGTGCATTGAAATAACACATTGTACCCTGTAAATGTGTACACGTAAACGTTAAAATAAAAATAAATAAACAAATACAAAATGATCTCTAAAAAAAAGTGATTTTGTGAAAAAAAAATTGTGGTAAAATAGGTCAAGGGTTCAGATCCCCTTACTGGCCAGCTGCCAAAAAAAAAAAAAAAAAAAAAGAAAAGAAAAGAAAAATTGTGGTAAAATAGAATAACATAACAGTTACCATATCAACCATTTTAAACATCCAGGTCATTGGCACTATGTACATTCACACGGTTCTGCAACAATCACCAGCATCCATCTCCAGAACTTTTCATCATCCCAAACTGAAGCTCCATACCCATCAAACCCGAACTCCCCACTAGAGCCCCTGGGAACCTCTATTCTACTTCTTTTTCTTTTTGGTGGCATTTTTTTTTTTTTTTAGCAGCTGGCGGGTGAGATCTGACTTCTGACCTTGGTGTTTTCAACGCCATGCTCTTACCAGCTGAGCTAACCTGCCAGCCTATTCTACTTCTGTTTGCATGAATCTGGCTATGCCAGGGACCTAATATAAGTGGAATCACACAATATGCGGCCTTTTGTGACTTGCTTCTTTCACTTAGCATAATGTTTTTAAGGTTCATCCATGTTGCAGCATGTGTCAGATTTTTTTTTCCTTTTTAAGGCTGAACCATATAACCTTAGAAGTATTTGATCCTAAGACAAGTAAACATGCTAATAAAGAGGGTGGCAGTAGCTTCCTCACACCCAAGACTTCAGAGAGCTTGAGCGTTGCCCCTGCTGGTGGTCTGGTGTCACCAGGCAAGACATGGGCCTCAAGAGAGGTGAAGGGATATAGCTAGCATGATCCACCAAGCTGTGGACAAAGCTAAAGAGGACATTTTGCTTCACTGAGATCCCTTGTCCCGTAGGGAACTCTTTCCTGCTTAGAACTCCCTGGGGCCAACCAAGGGGCGCTTCTGTGAGCTTTCTTTATATAGCTGAGCAAGCTCATGTAATTAGGTGGTCGTTAAACGGTAGGTTGAAATGGTGCCTTCAAAGGCTGAGAGGCTATTTTCAGGGGCTTAAAAAAAAAGGCAATCACAGACCATGCAATCTAGAATTTCTTCCAAGGGTGCAATTTACAGGCCCACAAACGTGGAGTCCTTCCTCTGTCCCCTTTCCTTTGTCCTGTTCACATTCTAGGGTGCTATGGTTGAAGGAAGCAGGGCAGGGGGAGCAGGTGGCGGGGAGGAGTCGCCCACCGTGAGCAGAAAGGGGTACGTGTTGCCCCCCAGCTTCTTCAGCAGGCTCTCCTGCAGTTTTGTGGGTGCGCTCACGGCCCCCACGGGAGGGTACACCTGGACCCGAGAGAAGTACAGGTCCCTGCGGAAAGTCAGGCCGATCACGTCGATGTCCTCCTGGCCGTAGCGGAAGGCACAGGTCAGAGAGACGTACACTAGGAAGAAAATGAAGACAGGGTCAGACTTGGCACACCTGACCTGCCTGCCTCAGCCCGGCACCCATGGCCACTGGGCCAAGTGGACAGAGGGGTGACCGCGGTACACCATGGACCACTGGTTTCCAAACTTTACTGTCTGGAGGGGATGAGATTTGAGAAAACCATACTACGTGGCTGGCCCCCCACATGTTTGGAGAATCGGCACCTTCCTGAGGGTTAGTGTTAATTACTCTAAAGTGGTATATTGGAGGATTGGGAGGCTTCTTCCTCCTGACCACATTATCTTGCCAAGATGGTAGAAGTCTGTGGACAGGGAGCACGAGCTGGCTGCTCGCGCCCTGCAGGGCAGAGCCTCTGGGTGGAGTTAAGGGCAAAGGTAGGAAATGGGGAAACGGTGCTGGGAAGCAACACAGATGTGGGGCTGAGGGAGGAGCCGGAAGGTCACAGACCAAGTGGGGAGATGAAGTCACATCCAAGAAGTTAGATCGGTCTTTTCACGTTGCTCTGAGAATGATTAAGCTTTCTCCAAGTCACCACGTTTGAAAATTCCACTTGATTAAACATACATCAATTGTGCCCCCAGTAGATCCAAGGAATTATATGAATGTTCACTGCACGTCTTTTGGAAAAGACACAAAGCACATATTTCTCGAATATAAAGCATATCAGAGACAGCACCTCTAGGTATTTGGTGGCCACTGGTTGAGGATTTCGTCTATGTCAGCCCCACCAGTCACTGCCCCTTGCCACTGCCTCAGGAGAACCACTGGCTGCTCATTCACCCCTCATCCAAGGTTAGGAAGAGGAAGTGCCCAGGGATGCCCTGCTTTACACCTGCCTTCCCCAGGCAGTGGCTTTCCCTGACAGTGGGCGCCCTTCTCTGGCAGAGGGCGTGGGCTTTTGGGGCTTAAACCAGACTTCTCCTGGTGCCAGAGAGGAGCAGGGCACTCAGGAAGGTGGAGCCAACAAAGTGGGGTGGTTTTGGGCCCATTTCTGCCACACTCCCCTTGATACCATATCCCAGTGGGCACATCCAAGGTTAGGAACAATTCCTTGTGGTTGCCGGTAGCAACCACTCAAAAAGGCATATTTAGAATGGAACTGAGTCAGTGACATTATTATAAGAATAACTCAATTCTAATTAATTTACACAACTGTTATTAGTAACAAAGTACAAGGGTGCTGTGATGGTGTGGTTCAGAATCATCAAAGAAAGCATAAAAATAAATACTGAATTTTACCCGCCCCCCACCACACCCAGCCTCCCAGAAGGCATGATTCCCCCCTTTTGGGATAAAACCACTAAGGAGCTCTCCTGCGTGTGCCCCCAGCACAGAACTACATGCCACAGGCCGAGCACACAGCTGATGGACCGACAGACCTGAGCTTTGTCCACCATGTACTTATCTGCCACCCAGACAGTGACTTCTCCGAGTCCAGCATGTGCAAGAGAGCTGCCAGCTGCCTTCCCGTCCCTCTTTGCCCACAACTGCCTCCTCCCCAGAGCCAGCCCAGTGACCAGACCAGTGCTCCACCGAGGACAGGGAGCTCAGCCTCACCTTTCTTTCCCTTCAGAAGCTCAGGATCGACCAATACGACACCATCTAAACCAAAAGAGGGAGAGAACAGTGAGGGAGAGGGAGATCGAAGAAACCGGATGCCTTCTTAAAAACTATGTATTTTAATTGCACGTGTAAGCCATGTTCATTATAGGAAAGTTAGAGAGGGCAGTTAAGCAAAAAGAAAACAAAGTCATCCAAATTCCCACTACCCAAAGACACCCATTGTCAAGATACTGGTGCAGGGGCCGGCCCGAGGCTCACTCAGGAGAGTGCGGTGCTGATAACACCAAGGCCACGGGTTCGGATCCCATATAGGGATGGCTGGTTGGCTCACTTGGGTGAGCGTGGTGCTGACACCACCAAGTCAAGGGTTAAGATCCCTTTACCGGTCATCTTTAAAAAAAAAAAAAAAGATAAAAGATACTGGTGCAGAATTTTTTTCCAGACAAATATACAACTTAATTATATAAATGTTTTTCAGTTTTTTTGTGTTGTTTTTTTGAGCAGCTGGCCAGTATGGGGATCTGAACCCGCGACCTCAATATTATAAGTCTGCGTTCTAACCAACCAATATAGGAATGTTTTCACTTAAAAAATAAAAGATCCTACTGTACATATTGTTCAGTTAGCCGCTTTCCTCACTCAACTACATATTGCCAACATCTATTCATAAGCACACACATGTGTACATGCATGTGCATTTAGATAAAACATGTACTAATCACTTTAATAGCAACATGTTACTCCATTGAATGGATGTACCATAAGTTATTTAATGAACCTCCTACTGTTAGGACACTTAAGTTGTTTCCAATTTTTCCCATTATAATTAACGTTGTGATGAACATCCTTACACATAACTTTTGTGTTTTTTTGGGGGGGTCGCTGGTACGGGGAGCCAAACCCTTGACCTTGGTGTTACAAGGTGGCGCTCTAACCAACTGAGCTAACCAGCCAGCCCCCAGCCGATACAAATTTTTTATTTCTCCATGAGTTTTAAAAAATAAATTATAGAATTGGATTTGGTTTTTGATGACATGCTGCCAAATAATCTTCCAGAAAGGGTTTTGCCAAGGGACATTTTCATCCTCAGTGCCTGAAACTGCCAGTTTTTCTACACTCTTTTTTTTTTTTTTCCTTTTTGTCTTTTTTCGTGACCGGCAACGGATTGCAACCCTCAGTGTCACGCCTGTACCGGACCGGGACCGGCAACGGGATCGCAACCCTCGGTGTTGCGCTCGCACCTCGCTCAGCCAGTGAGCAGCCGGTCTGTATGTGGGATCTGAACCCTCGGTGGGAGCGCCGCTGCACTCCCCAGCGGTGCACTGTAGCAGTGTGCCACCGGGCCGGCCCTTCTACCCTCTTTTTTTTTTTTTTCCTTTTTGCCTTTTTTCGGGACCGGCAACGGGATCGCACCCCTCGGTGTTGCGCTCGCACCTCGCTCAGCCAGTGAGCAGCCGGTCTGTATGTGGGATCTGAACCCTCGGTGGGAGCGCCGCTGCACTCCCCAGCGGTGCACTGTAGCAGTGTGCCACCGGGCCGGCCCTTCTACCCTCTTTTTTTTTTTTTTCCTTTTTGCCTTTTTTCGGGACCGGCAACGGGATCGCACCCCTCGGTGTTGCGCTCGCACCTCGCTCAGCCAGTGAGCAGCCGGTCTGTATGTGGGATCTGAACCCTCGGTGGGAGCGCCGCTGCACTCCCAAGCGGTGCACTGTAGCAGTGTGCCACCGGGCCGGCCCTTCTACACTCTTTTTGAAAAAACTTTTTGTATTGAAATAATTATAGATTCACAGAAAGTTGCAAAGATAGTACAGAGAGGTCCCCAGTATCCTTCATTCAGTTTCTTCCCATGGTTACATCTTAAATAATTATAGAACAATATGAAAACTAGGAAGCTGACATGGATACAATGTGTGCATATAGTTCTATGTCATTTTATCACATGGAGATTTGTGTAGCCACCACCACAATCTAGATATGGAACTATCCCATCACCATGAAGAGCTCCCTTGGGCCAACCCCTTTTTTGTCATGCCCACCCCCCGACCCCCACCATCCTTAGCCCCTGGCAAGTACTAATCTGTTTTCCATATATATAATTTCACCATCTTGAGAATGTTATATAAATGGAATCATACAGTATGTGGCCTTTTGAGATTGGCTTTTTCCACTCAGCATAATGCCCTCGAGATCTGTAAGTTGCTGAATGTATCAATAGTTCATTCTTTTTTATTGCTGAGTATGTCCATGGCATGTATGTAAAACCGTCTGCCTAACGCTATCCACCTACTGAGGGACATTTTGGAGCTATTACAGACACGTCTGCTGTAAACACTCATGTACAGGTTTTTGGGCAGACATAAGTTTTCATTTCTCTGGGATAAATGCCCAGGAATGCAACTGTTGGGTTATATGCAAAGTGTATGTTTAGTTGTTTTTTTTTTAAAGAAATTGTCAAACTGTTTTCTAGAGTGGCTGTGCTATTTTACATTCTCACCAGCAATACGTGAGTGATCAGTTTTTCTGCATCCTCATCAGTATTTGGTATTGTCACTATCTTTTATTTCAGCCGTTTTGACAGATATATAATGATATCTCATTGTGGCTTTAATTTGTATTTCTCTACTGGCTAATGATTGAACATTTTTTTCATGTGCTTATTTGTCATCTGTGTATTGTCTTTGATGAAATGTCTCTTCATGTCTTTTGTCAATTTCTCATTGGATTTTGCTTTGTTATTTTTTGGCTTTTTAAAATATTTTTGCTTTTTTCACTGTTGAGTTCTGAGCATTCTTTACATATTCTAGAAATGAGTCCTTTGTCTCGTCACACTCTTTTTTTTTTTTTTTTTTTTTCCCTTTTTTACTGACCAGTAACGGGATCACAACCCTCGGTGTTGCACCCGTACTGGGGACCGGCAACGGGATCGCAACCCTCGGTGTTGCGCTCGCACCGCGCTCAGCCAGTGAGCGGGAACTGGTCTCCACATGGGATCCGAACCCTTGGCGGGAGTGCCACCGCACTCCCAAGCGGCGCACTCTCCAGTGCACCACCAGGCCGGCCCCTTGTCACACTCTTTACTATTGTTTCCAATCAACCAGTGGCACCTCACTGATGTTTTAATTTGCATTTCTTTAATTCGATTATTAGCTAAGCTGATTTTTTTTCTTTTTTTTGTCTTTTGTCTTTTTCCGTGTCCGGCAACAGATCGCAACCCTCAGTGCTGTCCCCGTACCGGACCGGGGACCGGCAACGGGACCGCAACCCTCGGCGTCGCTCCCGCGCCTCGCTCAGCCAGTGAGCGGGAACCGGTCTGTATGTGGGATCCGAACCCTCGGGCGGGAGCGCTGCTGCGCTTCCCAAGCGGCGCACTATCCAGTGTGCCACCGGGCCGGCCCCCGCTAAGCTGATTTTTTAAAAGATTAAACCAGAAGTTGTTTGATGACTTAAAGGAAACCCAGCATTAAAATTTTACTCCAAACTCAACTTACCCACAGGCTCTACTTGGTTGATATGGTCTATATAGTCTCTCTTCCCCAGGTAGATGGTCACCTGCAGGAAGAACGGGTATAGATTTTACATGGCCAAAGAGCACTAAGCTAAGGCATTCATGTTAAAACCAACAACCACCAGATCTTTTCATTCATTTTGAAAAGAGGAGCCACTTGGCTCTGTAGCTCTGCAGCTGCTCTACCACTCCCTGCTCTCCCAGCTCGGCTGTGGGCAGAGATGATGGATTTCAGGCAAGGTGCATTCTGTTCTCAGTCTCATATATCTGCTGCAAGAAACTCTACCCACCCCTTTGGATGGTCAGGGGCTCCCTGTTCATTCCTCCTTTCCCCATCCAGCCCAGGTCTGATATCAACCAGGTAAACTTGTTGAGTTAACTGGGTATACTTTACTGGAAAGTTATACCTATGCAAATGAGGCTTCGACCACCCCTTTGCATGTTAAGCCTTTTATTTCTAGCTATGGAATGAAAAGTTTCCTATTCCTGTTAAAAGAATTACTGGACTCAGCAAAGAGGTGGGAGTTCTGGAGGAGTCCCTGAAATCCCATCAGGTGAGCTTCTGCACAGGTAAACCTGAACCTATGCTCTGGGGGGTGTGGGGGAGACAAAGCTGGGTGGGTAGAGGATGACCATCATCTTGGCCCTCATCCTATCTGTTTCCATGCCTCTGGAGGCGAAGTTTTCTTTACCACCCTCCTTTGTGGGAGAGCATGTGGTCAACAGGGTCATTTGCCTCTTGGCCCCAAGCCCCACTGAGAGCTTCCTCTCTTCTACCGTGCTCTCCTGCTGGGCCTGGGCCTCTGTGCCTCTGTTCCTATTGTTTCTGCAGTGGGGAAGGCCCTTCTGCTATATCTCCACCTGGAGAAATCCCGTCCATGCTTCAGGGAACACCTGAGGGTCTCCACCCCTCCTCTGCCTGGCACACTCTGGCCTTTGGTGTCCCAGAAGCACTGGCCTGTGACCCCACGCCAGCACATGCCACATGGTGTTCCAGCTGCTTTTGTAGAAGCCTGTCTCCTCTGCTGCACTTTTTGTTGTTGTTGTTGTTGTTTTTAAAGATGACTGGTAAGGGGATCTTAACCCTTGACTTGGTGTTGTCAGCACCACGCTCTCCCAGTTGAGCTAACCGGCCATCCCTATATAGGGATCCGAGCCCATGGCCTTGGCGTTACCAGCACCACACTCTCCTGAGTGAGCCATGGGCCGGCCCCTCTGCTGCACTTCGCTTGTGTGAGCACTTCAGCCCCATTGGCCATGTGAGGACTCAGCAACTAAGTGCAGTCTAAGAAGCCCTCACCAGATGCCAAATCTACCAGCTCCTTGATCGTGAACTTGTGCCCATGGCCTTGGCGTTACCAGCACCACACTCTCCTGAGTGAGCCATGGGCCGGCCCCTCTGCTGCACTTTGAGCTGCATAAATGAGGCAAATGCTTCTTTCATTCCTCCCACACACAGCTGTGGAGGCACAATCAGCGCTGTTGGGCGCTGGGGATAAAAACCAAACAAGGGGACTGGTGGGTCAGCTCACTTGGTTAGAGCATGGCACTGATAACACCAAGGTCAAGGGTTCGGATCCATTACTGGCCAGCCACCAAAAAACCCAAACCAAACCAAACACAACATTTTGAGGACCGGCAAGTGATCTGGTAATTGTGCCCCTGGGGTAAATGCCAGGGCAGAGGAAGGTAGGCAGGACAGAGGGGAGGGAAGGAGAGAGGGCAGGCTCTTCCTTTCAGAGGAAGTTCTACCTGAGTGGAGATCTGAACCCATGACCTTGGTGTTATAAGGCTGTGCTCTCACCAACCGAGCTAACCAGCCAGCCCCCTGAGCGGAGACCTGAAGGACAGGTAACGTAGCCAGGTGACGGAGAGATGGTGAGGGGATGCTCTCTGTGCAAAAGATCAATGTATGCAAAGCCCAGAGCCAAGAAAATGCTTCTGTAACTGCCAAAGATTTAATCTGCAGGTGAATGGCCACCAAATGGGGATGTAGGCTGGTGTCACAAAGGGTCTCTAGGACCTGACTCTAAAGAATCTAGGGGGGCCGAGCCTGTGGCGTACTCGGTAGAGTGCGGCGCTGGGAGCGCAGGAGTGCTCCCGCCGCGGGTTCGGATCCTATGTAGGGATGACCGGTGCGCTCACAGCGCTCACTGGCTGAGCGCGGTGCAGCCGGTCTAAAAAAAAGGACAAAAAAATAAAAAAATAAAAAATAAAGAATCTAGGAAGATGTTGAAGCATTTTAAGCAGGATGAAGTTAAAGACCTATAGTTAAACAGCAGTGAGAGTGCTTGCTAGGTACCAAACTAAGCACTTTGACTACACTATTTCATTTAATTCTCATAATGAGTCCATGAGATAGAAATTAATCCTAGGGCTGGCCAGTTAGCTCACTTGGTTACAGTGTGGTGCTGATAACACCAAGGGCCACGGTTTGAACCCTGTACCAACCAGCTGCAAAAAAAAAAAGAAAGAAAGAAATTAACCTTTTTTTATAGAGGAGACTTAGATCCTGTTGGCAGCAGAGTGGAGAATGGACTGTAAGGGGAAGCCCGCTAGGCAGCCCACAGTGGCTGGGTGGAGGACGGAAGCGTGGCGGGAGGGACGAAGGTAGGTGGAGGGAGGGAGTGTTTTCTTTTCTTTCAAGCTTCAGATGTTAGGAAAGGAAAGCTAGAAAGGAGATCGGGTCAAGGGGAGTTGGTTGCTGTTGTTTTTAAGATGTATGAGGTGGGTCCTTGTTTTTATCCTTAGGCAAAAGACTGGCAGAGAGGGAGAGGCTGCAGATACAGCCTAGGGAGGGAGGGACCGATGGGCGAGGTCCCGAGGAGGTGGTAGACCAGGAGACCCAGGGAGTCAGGAGCAGTGAACCTCAGAGGAGAGCAGAGGTGCCCCTTCTGCTGCAATTGGAAGGGAAGGGGAAAGACAGGAGCAGGCAGAGAAGTGGGCGGAATGGTGAGAGACTGTAGCCAGCCTGCTGGGGGCCACCGACAGCCACGTGCTCCTTGCTCCTGGATGAAGTCACCAATTGTGTTCAGGGTTCACCATCCTCTAGGAGGTGGTTTGCTAAGAGGAGGCCAGCCCCAGGGGATGGCTCTTCATCATTCTGGCCCAATTGTAACCACCTACTTCCTTTGGTTGGAGATCAGTCTAGGGTGGGCACGTGATCTAGTTTCAACCGATGAGATATGAGAGAAGTCTGCTGGAGAGCTTCTGGGAAAGATTTCTTTCTGGACCCTTAAAAGAGACCCCAGGAAGCTGCAGTCTCTCTTCTGGATGTTGTCAAGTGAGCGTGAGGCACCTGGAGCTGAGGCAGCCGTCTTGCCACCAGCCCGAGGACACAGAAATCACAGACAAGGACAGAGTCCAGAGAATCCCAGAAAAATGGATGCAGAGCCCTGGCACACCAAGCCTGGAGCTGCACGGGGTTGCACTTGAAATGATCCTAATACAGGAGACATTAATTGAGGAATATTTTTTCCCTGTGGCTACCTACATACAAAAACCTCTAAATTTCTTAGTTCGAAGGATGTCTGTTTAGTTGTGAGAGAAAAAAAAATGTGGGAAATCAGCACAAGTGGTTTCTCTCCTCTTCTGCCAGAAGTTGACATAAAGTGGGCTGGAAAGACACAACTTTTGAAAGAGTTTGGAGAGTGAAAGTTTGAGGAGCACCCAACTTGTCACTCCAAAGAATCAGAGTACTTAATGAAAATGATGGACTTCCTCAGCTGCGAGAGCAGGGGGCAGAAAGAGAGTGCATGCGCAAAGCCCGGTTCTCTCGTGTGGCACAGTTAGGACTGGAGAGTTCCTTTTGGGCCCAGTTTAGACTTCAGAAGTCAGAAGAATGATCTAGATCCACCCTGTTTGACAGAACAGCCACAAGTTACTGGTGGCTACTGGACACTTCAAGCATGGCCATTCCAAATTGACACATGCTGTAAGTGTAAATACATACCAGATTTCAACAACTTAACAAAATAATGTAAAGTATATCATCAATAATTTTTATATTGTTTATCTGTTGAAATGATCATTTTTTGGATATATTGGGTTAAAATATAGTATTAAAATGAATTTCACTTGTTTCTTCTTACTTTTTTAATGTGGCTACTAGAAAATTTAAAATTACATGTGTGGCTTGCATTGGATGGTGCTGAGCTGGATTGTTGGGCCCCAAGAAGCCATCAGGAAGAGCAAGGGGACCCCATGCACAGAGGCTGAGGAGTGGACCCTCCATCAGCTCTGCCATGCCAGGAAGTTCATGGGCACATCTAGGCCACCTCACGTGCCCCTGGAGAGTGGTCACAAGGAGCAAACTGGGGCATATTCCCTTATCCAGGGGCCCTAAGGCCCAGCTGAGGTTTGAGAGCCTGGTGGTGGGGCAGGTGCACAGACATAAAAGTGGCACATTGATCCAGCATCTGGTCTTTTTCCAAGCAGGTGACGCAACAGACAAAGGGCCCTGTGAGTCACAGGTATTGACAAAACAGTGTTTCAAATGGTAAGCAGTGGATTCAAAGCCGGCCAGGAGAAGAAGCAAAGTTGGGGGTGAGGGTGTCGGGACTAGAGATTAAGGAGAAAATTGGGGGCCACAGGACTAAAGGTTTCACGAGACTGAAGAGAAGCTGTATTCCTGCAGTTCATTCATTCATTTACATCTCACTGATCGTCTGTCTCAGAGGCAGATGGGAAACAGACACAGAGCTTGCCTGGACTGCACAGGGTTTTCATGTTGATCATGTCCATTCTTGAAAAAGTTCCATTTATCATGTTTTTACAGTAGTTTCCATCGAGCCACTCACTTCTGTACCACTTACCGCTTTGTCCCGTGAGACCTTCTTGAAGATGACATTGTTTGGCGTCGATTTACTGGTCTTCGTGCTGGCTGCCATGTTACCTGTCCCTCTTCCACCCTGGGACACACGTCCGGTGTTGGGGGGCTAGGTCAAGGTCAAACGATCCTAAATATAAAGTGAAGAACATTCTGGGTATAAAATCTACTCATGGGATGCTCTGCATCCATTGGACATTTCCTTCTACCTGCTTCAACATCTGCGTTTGGTTAATTAAAGTTTTGCCTAGTTTGTATTTTACTATGGTGCGCTTTTTTAAAAAAAGTTTTATTTTTCTTGGTAAACCTTAAACACTTCTCAGCAACTCTCACCAGAAGTCTAGCTGGACTGCAGTGAGAAGGTTTTACTTTGACTGACCTTGGGTGTCGTCACACTTAGAAAGGTTGAATATAAGATTCTATCGTGACCATGTTTTATGGCAAATAAAGAGAAGAGGCTACTGAAAACCACGACATACCCACTTCACAAATAGTTTTCAAGAATGTATTAAAATCCCGAAAGTTCTATTGAGCAATAGTTCATAGTAAGCAGAGCTTTCCTTTCCCTGCTATCTCTTTTGCCACTCCCTGGTTCTACAGACAAGTGAGAGGCCATCTCAGCTGTCTGGAATACGATGCTCTGGGTTTCCTAAACAAGCAAAGTCTTATGGAAACCATATAAACAAGGCAAAACCAGGGCACACCATGTGCAAATGCCTGTCCTTGCTTTTCCTCATGCCTGTCCTGGGTTTCTGAGGTGGCTTGGGTTGTGGTGGTCACATACCTTGTGATTTGTCACCAGCCAGGTGGGATGGGCCGGGTGGCAAGGAGAGGGTCTCTATGGCCTCGGATGGTGAGCAGCCAGCCCCTGCTCTGAGCAAGCTGGCACTGCCTGACCCGCAAAGGCACAGGCAAGGACCCCTGGCTGACGTGTGTGGGGAATTTGTAGGGGATCTGGTGAGGATGCTCCGCACCCAGGTCTCAATGTCTAGAGACCAAATCCCATTTAAGGAGCCAAGTGGAAATTGGATTAGTGTTAAGACGGCGAACTTGTAGTTTCAGCAGTTCTAAGCATTGAGCAAGGGGCCCCCCAGTCTCCTTACAGAGGGTCCCGCAGATGCATGAGGCATGGTGGGAGGGACAACGGCTAAATGAAAGCGACTTTTTCTCCTAAACCTCTTTGGGTTCTGGAAATAGACTGATTATCCCTCTACTCCCTGGCATCACCAAGACAGGGGATTTAATTAAACTTGATTAAACTCAGCAGGCAGCTAATGCAACCTTGGGGGTGGGAATGTAAACAAAAAAGGTCAAGGAGAAATGTCAACCTCAAGATGAACCTGGTGTTACGCAAGCAAGCAAGCTAGATCCGTCCCTCTCGTCCACCCCGTGTGCTGCTGATGCCTCCCCCGCCCCGTGTCGCTGGAATCTGTGAAGGTCCATCCTCCCGCAGCGCCTCACCATGACTCGCTTCCCCCGCGGGCCCGGGGAGCCCTGACGGTGGCCCCTGCCTGGAATCTCCCACTGCTCTCAGGAGAGAGGCAACCCCTGCAGCGTGCTTGCTGGAGCCTCTGCCTGCCTCTCCACGCACTCCCCGGGCTCCCTCCCCACTGTCCTTTCTCCCTGGAACCATCGTTTCCTCTCTCCACCTCCTTCACTCTTCTTGGCCCTTTGGACCGTTCCCAGGACTCACTGCCTGGGGGAGCTGTCCCAGCGTCCAGGACTAGGTCAGAAGCACAGCTGCATTTCACTGTTGCCTGGGAGATTATTTTGCGGTCTCTCTTCCCTCACCTGACCCTACGCTCCAGGAGGGCAGGGGCCCATGCCATGGCATTTCCCTCACTGTTGTCCCCACAGTGCCTACATTACCTGCTCCCAAGGAACTGGGGGAGTGTGTGGATGGCATGTCGTGTCCACTAACACACTTACCTGGTGGATGCGACCGGCATCTGAGAATGAGGCAAATATAAGCCGAAAGCCTGTTCTGCCCTTCAGGGTGTTGGCATCTATCAGAACACTGCAATGGCTTCCCATGTAAGTCTGGGCAAGACCTGCAAGGTCCTGCATGATGTGGCTCCTGTTACCTCTGGCCTTATCTCTCACCACTCCCTCCCTCAAACACTTTGCCAGGCTCTTATACTCTAGGCCACCTAATCACCTTGGGGCTGGGTATCAAACAACGAGAGACATCCCCTACACTCCAGAGCCTGCTGAAATCATTCAAGCTGGCCAGTCCGAAGCCTGCTCACCCCTGCCTTACCTGTTCCTTCCCCCAGAAACCACAAGACTCTTGCTCACGTCTTCCCCTCATTCCCTGACAATGCTACTGCTTCCCCATGAAGCCCAGCATGGCAAAGGCCACCATCTCCTCTTGGGAATCATAACAAACTACCTTTAGAATGGCAGTCATCTCTTGATTTATTGACCTCGCCATGCCTGAATAATAGTAAAGCCTACACTTTAAAACACAAAGATTACTCACTGGTGTTAAAACCATTAGGTGAAGAGTTGATGGGGAAATGGCTGTCCCCAGGGCCGCATCACAAGGTGCATCACGGATCCAATGGTCAATCTTAGCATCACATGTGATGTGTCCCTGTGGGTTACCTTGAATCTGCAAGCCTTCAGACATCACTTCTAGTTTATAGGAAATACAGAGAATAGAGGAACAAGCTAAATGACACTACAAGAGAGCTGCCAGAAAAACCCCAAAAGTATCTGGTTTGCATAAGTCAGTGCCATAGAAAAGGGATATATTATATTAAAAGACACTTAAGGGACTCAACATCCAGATGTAATGTGTGGTCCCAGACCAGACTGGATACCCAATTGGATAAACAGGATGCATAGGACATTTGGGGTCCACTGAGAAAATCTGGATACAATAAGATGAAAATTATTGAAACAGGAAGGTAGAAATTGTGACTGAACAAAGAAAGTTGTAGAATGTCGTGTACTATGATCACATTTTGCAAACACACACAGCTATGTGTGTATATGTGTATACACATATTTATTTTACACACAACTAAATATGCATAACAAATATGCATATATACATATACATGCATGTTCATATACCTATGCATAATCTGCAAGGAGTTGCCCTAAGGAGCTAACATTGGAGCTCTTTGTGTGATGGGAATGTTGAGTTTTACATAATTTTTAAAACTTTTTTCTTGTCTATAATTTTCACATTTTCTCCAATGATCATTTACTGCTCTTATAAAAGAAAGGTTAAAATATAAAACTGTTATAAATTTAAAAGAATATCTTGGGCTGGCCCGTGGCTCACTTGGGAGAGTGTGGTGCTGATAACACCAAGGCCAAGGGTTCAGATCCCTATATAGGGATGGCCGGTTAGCTCATTTGGGAGAGCGTGGTGCTGACAGCACCAAGTTAAGGGTTAAGATCCCCTTACCGGTCATTAAAAAAATAAAAATAAAAAATTTAAAAGAATATCTCATTTTCCCCTTACAAATACAAAGAGAAAAAAAAATGACCAGGGCTCTTCTTTTAGTGTCCCCGTCAGAGGGGCTGCCCTGAGGTGTGGCTGCAGGACCCGACCTGGGCCCAGTGTGCAGCTGTGGGTGCACCTGGAACACCCCATTCTCCTGCTGCTTCACTCCACTAGGCCACCACAGGGGTGCAGATTGGCAGATCTTAGTCAGTGACCTGCCAATACCTCAGCAGGTAGGGAAATTTGTGGGTGGACTGGATGACAGGTCTTACTCTTTGGAAACATCATTCCCAACCCCCGATCTGTGATACATTTTTCTCTTCTTAGTGAAGAAATGAGAAAAATAAGGACACGTGAGTTTTTTCTAAGAGCCAAATGTATTTCCTATAAAGAATTGCCCTTTATTCTAGGATTATGAGGTTCTCAATATTTTGGTATTAAAAAATCCTTCTTTTCCCAACGCTTTTTTTTTTTTTTTGGTCCTTTTGAGACTGGCCGCACCGCGCTCAGCCAGTGAGCGCACCAGCCATCCCTATATAGGATCCGAACCCGCGGTGGGAGCGCTGCTGCGCTCCCAGCGCCGCACTCTCCCAAGTGCGCCACGGGCTCGGCCCTTCCCAACCCTTTTTATTGAGATATACTTTACATCCAAAAAACTTCACCCACTTTCAGTGTACAGTTTGATGAGTTTTGGCTACTGTATACAGTCATATAATCACTATTGTCATCAAGACAGAGGGCTAGCCGGTTAGCTCAGTTGGTTAGACACCAAGATCAAGGGTTCAGATCCCTGTACCAGCCCAGCCTCCTACTGGCCCTCCAGCCCAGGCAACCACAGATTTGCCTTCTGTTGTTAGTCTTGCAGCTTCCAAAATTTTAGAACATAAAGAAAAGCTGGAATAATACAGTAAACACCCACATAGCCAATACCAAAATTTGACAATTAACATTTTGCTGTATGTACTCACCAATGTCTATTTCTATTGTTTTTTTTTTTTTTCTTTTAACCATTTGGGAGGAAATATAGACATCATGACATTCTACCCATAAATATTGCAGAAGGAAGCTCCTAAACATAAGAACAAAAATGTTTTTTTTTTTTTTTTTTTAAAAAAAAAAACGGGGGGGGTACATAGTAATTTAGAAAAAAAGTCTTTTTTTGGCAAAAATAAAAATTTGGACACCTTCCCCTAAATTTCCTTTTGAAATTTTCTGCTCTGTGAATTCCCAACATCTGGGAACCACTGGCTATGGCAATACTTGTTTCTCTGGAGTCAGCCTCCAGGGAGATGAAGCCAGGAGCCCTATGTTTCATCTCCAAATCCTAAATGCAGCTCTCAGAGGCACAGGTGGTGGTGGCGGGACATTCAGCTAAGAGGCTTATGGCCTTTGGGGTTAGGTTGTTGTCTTAAGCATTTATTAGGACACATGCACAAAGAAAACGGATAAACTCTGCTAAACATCAGCTACAAAATGAAAACTTTGTGTCCTCATTGCATTAGTTTTACTGAAGCAGAGAACACCTGAGAAGTTTGAGGCAACTGGTATTTATAAAGAAGGCCAGGGAATCAGAGCTCTTAAAAGCCACCTTCACTCCATTA